ATAGTACAAATTTTGTTTTCAAAAATGATAATTATTGGATGCTCACACTTTTATAACGTAAGAATGTCTTTTTCCTGAGAAAGGGAATATAATCTTCTTGATAAGAAAAATAGTTTTCAATTCAAAACTTAGGTGCGCCATTTTCTTAACAGAAGCTGTTTGATTATACATAAAGCAATATTAAAAACTGAAAATCTCACATTGCCATTAAATAATTCTTTTAGAACTTATTGTATTTCTTAAGCTTTTCATCAAAGCCATTCAAAAAATGTTTTAACAATCTCTACATTAAAACACATTCCATTAAAACTTAAAACTCAAATAAATCCTATCCAATTTGCTTTGGAAAATTTTACGAACATCTTCCCTGTTCATCGTCAAATTCGATAGAGCATACTTTACACCACATTATTATTATCAAATTTAGCTGCCTCGTGCATATTTTAATAAATGCGAAAGATGAGTGCATTTAAGATTTGTCTCTGGAAAATCCAATTTCGTAGCTCTCGTTAAATTTCGCTGCCATTTACTCCCTTTAAAGAAACAATCCTCATTTAGCAAGCACACTTAGGTAAAACTTAAACTTCATTTAACTTAAACTGACAAAATATTTATTAATGTTTTGCACAATGAGGCTCTTTTTAGGGTGTGCGATGAGTACCCGGTTATCCTATAACATGAATGTAAAACTGAGCTTTAGTAGCCAAGTAATTAAAGCAAATATGCACTGGTAGCTTCTTTCCAGATTCAGCTCCGGTGACGGATTAAAGTGGATTTGCATATCATCATAACAGCACCAGGGAAGTCATCATAAATATTATGTATGTCGTCACAGCGTAGTCCATGGAGTGCAAAAGGTATCCCCCCCCCCCCGAATAAAAGCAAAACCCAAATAAAATAACGCAAAAAAAAAAAAAAAAAAAAAAAAAAAAAAAACAGCTCATTTTAAATATGATACACTTTATTATGTTTGCTTTCTTTACTGTTAATACATTGTAAACAAATAGTTGTACACCATATAATGTACATAACTGATAACGCTTACAAAGGAATTTCTTAAAAATAATATTTTCTTAATGTCATTTGTGTATATAATGTACGATATATGTTTTTTTTTTTTTTTCAAAGCTGTTACAAGCAGCCTATCATTCTACTTTCGTCAAGTTGTAGTTATTTAAGTAGAAGCAAACTTTCATTTTAAACCTTCGAATAAGAATACTAGTAGTTAACATCTATTGGTCTTATAATAAGACGTAGTTAAACAAGGGTTATTCTGAGTTTTGAAACGCTTTATTTTCAGTTTAAACTAATTTATTTGATAGTATTTTTATGGATTTAAATGCAAGCTCAACAGTGCTGATGTAAAAATAATTATTGCCAGTATGCACCCTTTGCAGAGGTTTACAGATCGCTTCAACTTTTTGCGGAAGCTTATAAAATTTTAAATTTATTTATTTAATATATCCACTAACATATTAGATGGAAATAAAGGAAATCATGAATAGGAAATGTAAGGATTCAGTTAAGTTTCTTTATTAGCTGATAATTTTATACATTTACTCTGTCCTATTTATTTGGACAACATTAAATTCTGATATATTTATTTGTATCCTAAAGCCTCCAGCTGATACATTTAGATAAATTACAACAAGCGTTCTATTATGCATAAGATCGACATGATTTTTAAAACTGCAGGGCCTGAATTGTACAAACAAGCTAAAACAGTAGCTTCTTTTTTATTCATTTGGGGAGCTAAACTACTTAACCTGAAAGTAGGCTGTCCGGAAAATCCCCAACACTAATATTCATAGGGTTTAAAGCTGAGATCTTTAGTGGTTCACCATTATGAACATTGTGAAACTGAAACCAACTTCGCAATAGAAGAAACCAAGCGTGGACAGACACGTTGTTAAACATATCCAGTGTTGGTTCAAATATTTGGTTCCTTCCTTTACATCATTTAGCTTAGAGCATGGCCTAGCCTTTTGAAGTACTCAGTTAAACATTTGGTGGTATGCCATGAAAGCTCAAAAAACTTCTGATCTAGAAACAAAGTCGCTAAATCGGCAATATTGCAAACAATTAATAAGATAATTATAAGCTAGAAGAAGATGATTCGTGAGCTGTGACTCATCAAATGACGATATGAAAGCAGTTTGAGGAACAACTGATTACCCAGTAAAGTCTGCTGTTGTTACCGGTCTCACTTGGTTAACAATGGTCAGCACAAGATTATGATATTCATCGCGGAAAGGAATGCGCCTGTCATTGGCAAGATCTTTGCGCAGCATATAAGTGACAGCCCGACTTTAGCTGAGTTCTAACTGATATACATGATGACTTTTTATGACTGCTACCTTCGCGCAGAATTGTGGATGCTGAGAAATAAGGCTTTCTTCAGCCTGATTTTTCTTGTTAAGGCATTTTCTATCATTGTTGTGTAAAAAAAATGACAACCCGTAGATCTCAGTTATCTAACTCAAAAAATTGTCTAATTGATTTTCCAGATGTTGTCGAAGTTTATGTAAATTTATAAATGATCAATCACGATTTCAAAGAAATGCATAACTTTCAGCCATCTTTAAAAAAATATTGCAAAAAAGTATGTAGTTTTACAAACGATGTCGACTACGAAATTTGACTCATAGGATTATTTTGTTCAAATTAAAAGAAAAAATATTATCTCAGGCACATCGTGAGGTTTCATGTTTCAATAGTCAAAAGTAAAACCTTAATTGTTTACCTAAGGATTTCGTGCAATATTAATATTACGTGTGGGTTTTCCCTGTCTATAAAAGTGAGTGGACATTTGTCTGGCATGAAATTTACAAGATTGTAGAGTCCTTCTTTTATTTTGAAGCAGAAGATGTGAAAAATGTGCAATGTCCTCGCCGGGACTAGCTCTTGGACCTCCCGAATACGCGCCGATTGTGCTACCGTTACACCGCGAAAGCATGATGGAAGGAGGGAAAATACCTTTTAATATGATTTCAACAAATTTTGAGGAAAGCTTTTTTGCTGCTTTATAGACAAATCTCTAGCTCTCAAGGGGTTAGAGACGGCCTTCTTCAAGCAACAGCACATTTCCCTTCCATGCATGCAGCATTAGATTCAGATTACGTAAGCATGCCAAGCACTATGTACGCTTGATTTCCTTCTTCAAAAACCAACCTTTTATAAGAAGATCTTTGTGACATCGAACATTATCGTCCAGAAAAAGAAAGACATCGCCGATGGCTTCAATATACAGCAAAACCAAATTTCCAAGGATCTCATTCCTGTACCTTCTACCTGTTAGATACCATGCTGGATAATATTCAGATCAGTACAGCTGTCTAATCTTATTTTTCTTCCATCTTGATTTTGAGATCTTTCGGGCACAAAATCAGGATTATTTCTTGTGTTACATTCTCGCCATATGAATATAACACAAATATCTGGCTCAAGCAGAATATGTGAAGAAAGCGTGACGCGATTTTGTACAGCTTCAATCTAGTTTCTCCCCACCCTATGTTGCCGAACAGTAAAGGGAACGGAAACTGCAGGGCCCATGTGAATACAAACCATCCTGATGACGTAGATCTCATGCGCTTTTGTCTACCATTTTGTTCATTAGTCCGGAAAATTGCCTTTGCTGGTAAGTGGTATTTCTGGCTTTGTTTCAAAGGTCTGTTAAAGACAGAAAACGATTGTTATGGTGATTATTATACTTACGTTGTTATACATGGACGTAACATCCCCCTGTAGTTTGGAATCAATTCCAAAGTCTAGAAATTGCATTTAAAATAAATTCGCTACTTGATTCACCTCTTTCCAGGTTACCAATTGGTTACCAAACGACTGATTTTGTGCAAATTATGACGCTGAGATACTGTTATAACTCTTTCTTAAAAAAAAAAAAAAAAACTGTTAAACCTACTGCGGAGCGCAAACAGCAAAATACAGGATTCCCAATCCCCCATTTATACCAGAATTTTGACAATACGTTCTTTAATGTCAGAATTTTTGTTTTTCATTAGGAATCTTCTTCTTCTGATGTCTTTGAAGCTCTAGACGAATATTGAGCGGAATTTAATTAGATTTTATACGTTAGGTGAGTATAATATTGCAAAAACAGACATTCTTTAGCATTATTATATTTATTTACGTTTTTAATGTTGTATATACAGTTTTTTCACCCTAAATCGATTGCAAGTTTAAGAAATTAGCTGAAAACGTGAAAATCCCAAATTTCTGCTTAAACCCATGGATATATCTTGTTCGAAAATCAGTTTTAGAAGTTCCTAATTTATAATACAGAAAAATGCTTTGTACAAATAAATATGAAATGCTCTTAAACTACTTCATAAAGCAAATAACTGTTTTAGAAACCGAATCACAGTTTTTGAATCTCTTAAATTTTTATTGAAATATTTATTCTGTGTTTAATTTGCATAAATGCCCAAGCGATTTAGACTTACATTTTTGAAAATTTTCAAGCTCCCGCAAAAATATGTAACTGTACTTGAAGTGAAGATAATTGGTGAAGTTGTAGAAAGAAATTACCTTTGAAAGAAGAGTTTAGACGTTTAAGACGGAGGCAATCAGTTTCATTTGTCAAAATCTCTAAACAAAATTTATTACGTTCGTCCAAGTTGAAAATCTTTTATTGCTGTAATATTTCAAAGTTGTAACTCCTTTTTTCATATTATATTAGAAAATAAATTACGTGTGATTACATTTTTAAATTGCAAAAACGTTCATAATAGGGAATTTTACTTAAAATTTTAAAATTTTAAATCTTAGTATATTTGAAGCTTTTTTAGAATTTAAAAATCAAAAGAAATTTTAAGAATTATTACGGAGAACTTAAGGCATTTTATGTCATTGCAGTGTTAATAATTGTACGCTTAGGTTTTTATAAAAACTGAAGCTAATTTATGCTCAAGATGCTTAAAAATTAAGAAATTTTGCTATTATTTATTATAATCTTTGCTTCATTTAATAATGTTAGTTTTTTTATTTTGCTTTATGAAAGTTACATGAATAGAATATTTGCATATAGAAATTTAGTTTCCGCAAAAATTGCTAAAAACGAAACTCTCTCAAGTTAAAAGTGAATTTTGCATGAAATTTTATTTTCTAATGGGAGAATACTTTATATTTCACTATTTTAGTTTATACTACAGCTAGTTATTTATTATACAAAACAAAATATAACATAAGAAAGATTTACACAAGAGGGGGAAATTTTTATCACTTACATATTTAAAAAATGTTTCATTTGTCGGCTATGCAGTTAGCAAACATTTACAGTATTAAGTAGAAAATTACACATGACGTTAAAGCGACATTAAAGTAGAACAAAGTAACACAAAATGTTTTCATTAACAAAGGCAACAGCTTTTATGAAATATAAACTTAAACCTTTTATACTTTAAATTAACTAAAAAAGGGATTGCTAAATTGTTTTTTTATATTGTTTGCTGTAGCACACACACACATACACACAAAATATTCGTGTAAAGACAGAACACTACAGCCGTTTGGAGAAATATAAATTGCAAGACACTTTTTTCATCATCACACATCTCCTCTAGCATGAGTTGGAACTGCGCATATCTTTGACTAGAAAAGATCTTTAGTCAAAGAGGCGAAACTGTTTTAACAAAAATAAATTCAGGGAACATAAAAGTACTATAAAAGGCATGCTGTTCAGTCTGGCATAGGGAAGGGGCGATGCGTTACAACCATCATCGAAACAGTTCTGCACACAGCCTCGAACATAACGATTTTCGTAATAAAATCCACCGCAGTGACTCATCCGCACAAGCTCTGTATCTATTGTTAGAGTACCACTATCCACTGCACAGCCTCGAACAACAAGACTTTCTCCAGTGTCATCTAAAGGGAAAGAAGAAAAAATGTACATTTTTAATTCTCAGAAAAGCATCACAGAATTACCAACTCTATTCAGATTGTACAGTAATATACTTTTGTATATTTTGGGAATTTAACGAATTATAACTTTAGAATTCCAAAGTTATCGAGAAACGTATGTCTAGTGTCTTTTCAAGCCACTAGATGCCACTAGACTTCTTAGATGATTTTTTTTAAGCCAAAACAGAAGACATATATTCACACGGAAAATTTTAAATCCTATAAGTATTCTGAAAAAGATTCTTAGTGAAAGAAATATACTTTAAAAATAAAAGCAAAATGACTAATATACATAAACGTTTTACAAACAGTTGTAGAGACATTAGGTTATTTTCGAATCAAGAAAGATGAAAATTGAGCAATGCCCTCGCAGAGACTCGAACCACGGACCTCTCGGATATGCGTCGAGTGTGCTGACCACTACACCACGAAGGCATGCTAAGAAGACGGGAGAAATACAGTTAGATTGGATTTTGCTTATGATCTTTCTTACAGATTCTTAAAAATTTATTCTAATACTTCATTACTTCATGATTCAATAAGCCATCTGATTTTGAGATACGAAATGCTGCAATAGTCTTTGCTAAAGTTGAGAGTAGCGCCCAGTTGTTACTAAACTTTATTGTAAAAAACAATAGTATTAGGAAAACAGATGCATTTATATTTCATATATTTAAGATAGTTTCGGATTCATATTTGCTTTTCATAACTGCTAAACAGGAAAACGTTTTAACTGAGAAAAATTCAAGAAAAGTGAAAAACCCTTCATTTTAGCCAAAATTACTATTGCACTATTTTTACGATAGAGAATTTGTTATTGAACTGAGGACATGGGATTATTTATTACTTTCTGACTACTACTTTCTGAGTAAGAAATCTTAGTCTTTTACTATGTTACCGCCATGAAAACCACACCTTACCATGAGAACCACACCATAAGTCCTTACCTTTTTAAGAATTTATGTATTTTAAACGCCTAATCATAAGTTTTACTAAATTGGATTCTTCGGCTTTATGAGGGTCTTATCAAGAATAGCAGGTAATAAATATCTACTTTAAATTTGGAGCACCTTCATCGCATGAAATTAAAACTGTAAGCCGACAACTCAGAAAGAAAACTGGTTAACTGGATTTATTCGCACTTCAGAATTACATGTTTTGCATAGGAGTTACAGTTGGAAAAACTTTGCCTTACTTTCTAAGCAATGATTTGCCATTTTTATATTTTTAGGCGTTTTTAAAAATAAAGTTATACGTTGTAAAATGTAAACCTGTGCTAGTGTTATAAGGAATTAAAGGCGTTTCATTCCTGTGCCATTGTAGTGTAACTGTTAGCACACCGATCCCGTTATTCGAAAATTTCGTCTTCAGTTCCAAGCAAGAATATAGCTCATTTTTCACCTATTCCATGCTTCCAAATCGCCAGCGTTCTTCATATCTGACGCCGAATTCTACATGTTTTTACGGCGCAGAGCAGATCACTTGTTAGGTTCTGGACGAGGCACAGTTCTTTTTTTCTTCAAAGGTTTCTCTTTCCTACACTTACAGTACTTTTCACAATGTTATATATCAAATATTCGTTTTATTCATATCTCTTTATGATCAATCATTTTCGCGATTTCCCTCTTATTTCTCAGCTAGGTCAAAGTTTTACAAAACGAACAGAAGGCAATTAGCTGACTAAAAGAAAAATGCTATATTAAGTTACAAAATTCTAATGTAATGACGATTTGTTGCTAGTATTGAAAAGCAGTTATTTTGCGTTAAAACATTATTGTTTCTCTTGTAATTTTTTCCACCATTTATGATGGTTCCTTTTGCATATTATTTCTGCGTAATATTTACAGTTGAGATAAAAATTTGATGAAGATTCATATCTGAAATTTGAAAAGACAAATATTAATGTCTGTTTTTAATCATTAAAATAAAGAGAAGACTATCTGTTTAAATTATTTAAAAAGATTACACCTTTAGAGTGCAAAACTGGTTACAGACACAATATACAGTGAAGCACGTTTAACGCGAAAACGTTTAAGACGAAATATTGGTTAACACGAAATAATACAACGGTTCCGAAAAACTAATATATATTTTCCTGCATTTTGTTTTTCTTAACACGGAACAAAAATCGCTTAATACGAAAAGATACCCTCTCTAGATATGAACGAAATACGAAAAACACCGGCTCCGCAAGCGAGATTTAAGAGGGGTGTGAAATGAAAGAGATGGTTTCACATATTTTCGTAGGAGGCTAACTTGGCTTTGAAATATCTTCGGAATAGCCTACGACACGAGCCAGTTTTGTTTATCTAAGCTACTTTCACCTTCCACACCTACAAACGCCACACAAAAAATTCTCATCTCTCATTAGTTGAATCCGAATCAGAAGAGCAAAGGAATATGAAACTTTATTTAACTTTCATACGTTCCCAGAATTAATGCTCACAGTTTAAAACTCCATCATATGTTATTTATATCAAATGAAATTATTTGAAACAATATCTAACGCTCAGCTTCATATTACTGTTATGGAAATTGATTAATTATTCGAGATTAATTTCCGAGATAATTATCCCCAGCTTAATCTATCTAAAACGTTAAATTATGAATAATTAAAACGCAGTTTTTCATAAAATATTATGAAAATATTTTTGATTGTTTATAAAATATTTTCTCCCTTCTTTCCGCATACCTTTTGTGGTTAACTAGAAGGACGCTCGACGCGTATTCGGGAGGTATGGAGTTCAAATCCCGGCGATAACATTGCACATTTTTCACTTTTCTGCACTGATTACATATTTCTGAATTCTTAATTAAAAAAAATTTTTTTGAAAAATTCAATTTATCTTAATTTGCTTAATTGAATTGCTATTCTGTTTGCTAAATAAAAATATTTAGGTTACAATAGTCCTTTACAGTTATATACAGGTTACAATAGTCCTTTACACAAACATATTACACTTTCTCGGATAGTGTAATCATTGATTTTTGAAAAATTAAATTTAACCATTCATACTGAAAATCCTAAATTTTACTCACCTTTATTTTGTTTTGTTATGTATAATACTTCGTAATTTTTTTTTCAAGTTTCTCTTTCCTCATATTAATTTTCATTTAAAGATTCCGTTTTTAAAAGTTTCATTAATTTACGTTTACTCAGTTTGGAAATTTTTTACCCGGAGGAGAAAGGCTAGCTCTTTATATAAAAGGAACAAAATTTTATTCAATTTCGTTTCGACATTTACTTTTTGATATAATATATATATATATATAATAATAATAATTGTTGTTAATATGTATATTACCAACAATGTATATTTTTTAATTTCATTCCTGGCATTGTTCTTAAAATATATAAATTACTACTTTTTATTAAACTTTAATTAAAAATATTTTGTAAATTTTGATCTTCTTTTGATTTTAAACTTTTATATTAAAAAATGTAATACTTTTTTTTTTACTTCTGAATTTGAGTTTAAATATGAGAGTGTCGGGGGATAATTTTTCGTAAGGATCTCGTTTAATGCAATTACGAATGCTAAACGAATAACTTAAATTGAAAAGAATATTTAACTAATTTTTATTTAATTTATGGCAGGTCCTTTGGCTTAAATGGGCTAATTTCTTTCTGTTAATTGAGTTTCGTTCATAACTAATAATATAGCTCTAACAAAATTATAATTTAGTCCTTACTTAAAAAAAAAAAAAAAGAAAAAAAAGAAAAAATGAAACACTCTCACTTAATTTTGTTATTGTTAATTGATAATAGATTGTCTATTCCCCTTGACAAATCAATTAATCTGCAAACAATGACATTAACTACTTTTTCTGTATTTAAAATTATTACGTTTGAATTTGCTATTTTTGCAATTCAGAATTTTTGTTTTCAGATTTTAAAGGGTTTTTACTGCAATAGAGGACTAGGTTATACTGATTTAAGATACTAACACTAGAACACGAATTAATTATTTTTCTTTTAATAATTCATGTCTTTAATTGAATTTTTGTTCCTTGGAGATAATATAAAAATAGTTTTTCTAATAATAATAATAATATATATATACTGTATATACGTATTTGGCATTGCCGCTGCAATATTGCAGTCATCGTGGCTGGGAGTGTAAGGCGGTATCCAACCTTGCCAAAGGTAGTTGTCTGAGTCTGTGAGTTGTTTGGCGGGATGGGTTACAGCAGAAATGATGACACAGAAGAATTTAAATTTATAGCTCCCTATCTTTGTTCAATTCAAATGGGAGATCATTATTCTTTTAGATTCTCCAAAATTACACATCCAATATGGATTTAAATTGAAATAAGGTTAAATTTAGGCTTTCGACGTCATAACTATAGTCAAAAGTCGTTAATTCGGACACCCATAATCCGGACCTCAAAGCTTCAAACTTTCTGCGCATGCGTCGCGTTGACGCATGCGCGTAAGGCCTTTACGGCTGACAATATGCTTGTGCGTGTGCGCAAAATACGTTTACGAGTGCGCGGTTAATGTATAACGGACGGTATAAGCTAAGCTAAAATTATTTAAGTATCTATTTCAGTTAATTTTGCAGATTGCGTTGTTTCTTATCATCGTGGATAAGAATCAAATTGGATCCGGCTTATTATTTTTTGCAGACTGTTAGAGTAATTTTATAAAAGTAAGCTTGAACTTTCGATTATGTCAAATAGAATTTCTGATATATATTTATTAATATGTAAATGATCTACAAAGCGAAAGTATGTTTCGAAGTTCATTAAACAAAAAGTGGAATTGCTACAAAAAATGGATAAAGGCATATCCTTTGTTTATCTAAACTTTAACGTTTGTTTATCTAAACTTTGTTTATCTTTAACGCCGCGCAATGAATTGGAAGTTGACCTGTCAGCACTATCCTTATCTTCAGGGCAGATGTTTTTATTTTTATTTGGCTTATAATTCCTTATTAAATGTAGTATTTCATCTCGATGTACTCCATCTTTGATATGGCGGCCGAGCGGTAAAGTTGCTGAACACTGGTAGTTCGGTCCGAGGTTCGAATCCCGCGAACGGGCTGGCTGCATGGGCGTTTTCGTGGTTTTCCCCATGTGTAACGTGTATACGAGTCAGTTTCCCTTAGAAAGTCCTTCACGAAGGCATCCCTCCCCTTAGGCAGATAGCCCTCGAGGCTTTGCCATAATCACACACACACACACACACACACACCATCTTTGATATGATTTAAATCAAATTCCTCGTCATTATAATTCGCTTCCGATAGCGAAGAAAGTGACAGAGGTTATTGAAAACGAAAAAATTTCAATTGACAAATTAGTCGGTATTCTCGACACAGGAATTATAGGACTTGAACAGCGGAACTTTGTTACTGAACAAGAAATTATGTCTGTTTAAAGAATTAAAGAGAATGTATTATCACATAAAAAACGAAGCAACTTAAACAACTTACATTGAAAGAAATGTTTAATAAAGTAAACAAATAAATATTAAGCTTTTTTTTTGTAAATTTTGATACCCTTTAGATCATAATTGTTCTTTATTTCATAAATTACGGTTTCAAATTTTTAATTTTATAATTTCTGCATGCCATCTTACCAGATTTAAACTGATGATCTATAATCCGGAAAAATCGATAATCCGGAATCGCCGGAGTCCCGACGAGTCCGGATTAACGCGTTTTCACTGTATTCTAACAAAGGGAAGAAGAATGGACACAGCAGCACAGGGTCTTATCGCAGCGATGGCAGGAAGCAGTCTGACTAAAAATGGCTGGAATTCTACATTTATAGTAGCGTTTACATAACATGCCAGAATGTTCTCGAAAGTACTGGTCTAGGGTGAGATCCTGAAATTGCGGAAAGTTAATTATAGGTTGCCTGTTCGCGTAGAGCAAAGCCATTGTATGTGTGTGTATGTGTATATTGCGCTGCATATACTACAAATGCATAGATATCATTCCTTTATAACCTGATGTAACAGGTATGTGTATGTTGCATGCACCTTTATAGTATATTTGGAAATTATATTTTTAAAACTTAACTTAATTTTTTTTTCTCTCCCTGGCTAAAATTATCAGATTTTTTTTTTTTCTTTCGGTTAAACTCATCTCTTTAGGTGCCTAATCCCCTACAGATATTTATCAAAAATAATAAAAAGCAACAATAGTGATAATAATAACGCAAAGGGAAAAATTCAAATTAATATTTATTTACTGTCTAAAATCTTAATGCTTTTACTTGCAAGAAGCGTCTCTTGGTTATGCTTCGCAATTCAAATACATTGGTAACTAAATATTAAATTTACAGAGTCACATTTATTTCAAATAATTTTAATACATTGAATTAAACACTAAATAATTTACCTAAATTAAAAATAAACACATTTTATGAAAACTTTTCAAATTACCAAAGAAAACTTTTAAAGTGAGACAAAACTTAAGAATAAATAATGATTTTTTTCTTTTATTCATTGAATTTTTCTTTGACACATGCAAATATATATATATATATATTTGTAGATAAAGAATTACAAATTAATTTATTTCTTATCACAGTTTGGCACTTGATGGCATTCCGATGCAGATAAAGATTTTTCACACTGAAAAGAAAGGAAACCTTAAAGAAATATTACTAGAAATCATCTTCTTGGACATCGGATTGTAGATGCTTATTGGTCAATCTGATTTTTTACTTAAGCTTATTAATGTTCAACTGCAGAAAACATTGTTCACATACAAATGTGCTCCCAAACAAAGCGATTATTCTCGTTTCTAAAATTCATAACTGAGGGTATTTATCCTTCGACACGTCTGAAGAAAAGTGAATATAACCTGTACCTTCAAATACATAAATAAGATTTGTATCACACTGGTAAATTAATAAGCTTTTCATCTGTAGATTTTCTGGTGCATTATTCACGTGTGTTTTAACGATAATAAAAATAATGCGAAGTTGAATTATAAACTATCAAAATCTTGCTCAAGGAGTTGAAATAAACAATTTTTTTTTTTGTCTTCAAATCCTTGAATAACTCTTAAAGTAAATTTGAGATCGCTAATTTAGGATAATATTCAGCATTTCGAAGCATTTATTTCCCCCACATCAGACAATCATTTATTCGCTTGATAGTCACATTATCTATTGATGTCCATCAGATGGACTGATGAACATTCATTGCTAGTTAACAGCGAAGAGCCATTTGTTGTTAACTAGCTGTTAATGTCAACTTTTGAGAAGTAACCCTTAACGTCTAAAACTGCGAGCTCGAATAGTTGGCGTTCATACATTCAAATGGTTAATTTTATGGAATGCCAGTCTATCAGAAATCAGCTATATTCCTAAGTTGTTTTCGGAAAGGAAATCGAATAGTTTTTAGAGAAACTAGCTACAGACGAGAATATTGAGGATTTAAAGAAATCATGAAGTAGATTATATTAAATTTGGATTCTTCAAGTAAAGAATTATTAATGGGAATAATGGGACGATCTCGTGATGACTAAACACGAAAGGTCATTTATCAAACATAGAGTCATGTTTGATAAATCACTTTTGGCATATGTATCCGAAAGTGATTCTCGGTTTTTCTTTTTTTGATTAAGAAGCCAAACTTAAGGGATCGCATACTTTGTAGAACAAGTTCTGTATTCATAATATCTATATTTACTGCAGATTGTGATATTCATTTACTAAATAAACTTCAGCTCTTGAAAATGCTTTGCATATTGTTCTGTCACATATTAATTATTCATTTCACCGTTTACTAGGTTTAAAAGCGTTAAAAATTATTCATTACCATACACTCCTGCTAACTTGACGCAAGTGGTAGCAGGAAATACTCCATTTCTTTGTTTTCTACCAGCCCAACAAGGAGTTTCTAGAATATCTTGAGTATAATTGTTATGGAATGGATCATCACAGGGTGGATATTCACCGCCTATTGATATGCATTTGAAGCAGTCCAGTGCCCAGCTACCTAATAAAGAGCAAAGAAAACTTTTCATATGAGATCTCAGGAAACAGAAATTTCCACGTTTCGTCTCAAACTATGCATTATGTAATTACTATGCATTATTTTTAACAACTATGCATTATGTAATTACTAGAGTTTAATCATATAAGAAAGATTTCATTTGAAAGTTATGGCAAGTAGCAATGAAAAGTTGAAGCTTCATATATAAAAATAAGTGTTCAACGGGAAAAGTGATCATTTTGTAATTGTTATTATTATTATTGCAAAGCTGTGAAACAATTCAGACCCCGGGCAAAGCTTTAAATGCAAGATTGTTCTGCATTAAAACGGTTCACATATGAAGGTATACATAGAGTAGAAAAATGTGTTAATTTTATTTTGAGACTGTGACATAAATGAGATTCTGAACAAATCCTTAAAGACAATTTATATATATGAAAGAGAGATGAGTAAATAGGGATGGATCATAAATATTCAGTAAAATGCCTTATAGAATAAAACACGGGCGAAAAGCTTTTCCATTTATAAACTTATTTTTAAAGTTCCAAAATAAAACTCGTGCATACAAACATTTCCTCTTAATTAAATTTTTCCCTCTAAGAGGTCTAATTCTTTGATGTTATAAATTTGTATTTTTTGATTAACGTATACAAAATTTTCATTTCGAAAGCATTTTTTTTCCCGAAGCTCTGATTATCCGATCTTTTGCTGTCTAATTACCGAGCCATTGATATGATGCAAACAATTCTTATTTCAACAGAAGACGAAAGTTTCGGAAGATTTCTCGTAGTTTTCATTTGATGTAACCGATTTAGCTTCAACCGTAATGTGCTGGCTAGTTCGTTAGCCGATAAAATCAGCTACCGAAAGCAGAGACATATTTAATAAAGTTATAACAGGTCATTGTAAAAACATTTAAGTTCTTTCTTTTGAAATCATCGGTGTTTTTAAATCGTGCATTAATGATGCTGTTGCTTTTAATAAGGTTTCCTTTTTAATAATTCTCGAATTTTAAAATGTCGAATAATTCTAATTTTTCGCATAAATATAATAATACTAACTGAAAAAAAAACTCTTACTTAATATAAAGTATTTTTATATAAAGCAAAATTTGAAGGTTACTGAGATCGAGTAGATCGCTCACCCACTCGACCTATCTTAAACACCGACCAAGGAGTCTAATGTGTGTGCGAGTCTTGAACAGGCCCAGAGGTGCAATGGAAGCAAAAGGCGGCACATCGCGATCTGAGTTGGGATCCTGGGGCTTACCGCATCCAAGGAGCACCAACGACCCGGCCTACCCGATTTATCTCGGTTGGGAAGAGTATGAGCGTACACAATGGGACCCGAAAGATGAACTATGCCCGGCCAGGGAAAACTCTGGGGGGAGGCCTATAGCAGTTCTGACGTGCAAGACAAAAAGGAAAATTAATAAAATCAAAACTCTAGAATATTAAGGCTCAATGGAAAAAGTATCTGTAGGAGCAGTTCGAATTTTTTACATTTTCCATACCCTAAACGTCAATATGAAACGTCAATTGAAGTCCTCTCCAGAAAATTACATGCTTGGCAGTGAGAGCAGCCGCGAGTTATTATTGGAAATCTTGCTCCACTGAAACTGCAAGAGTTTCGTTCTTTTTTTAATGAACCCTTCTGCTGTACAGCAATAAAACTAATGTTTCCAAAGCTCTGATGTTTTTTTCACTTAACATTTTTTCTCACATTATGATTCGAAAGATCTGAATGATGAAATATTTAAGAATGTCTGAGTTTTGGAATTTCGAATCATTTTTAAGATTAGTGGGTTTCGAGGTTTTGAAGATTCAAATGTGTGGTCTTTAGTTTCTTTCCCTGTAAATATAGAAAATAACACTGTAAATTGTAAAATTAATGAAAAGAATGCAACCATTACAATTAATGTAACGAAAAAATATGAAATTTGAAAATATGCTATATTTATAAACTTTGAAATATGATACCTGTTATAAAAATAGATAAAATTGTAGACTGACTGATGAAGGTTGATTCATGTTTTCTTGGATCTGCAGTTTTGAAGACAATCATTCTTGAAAAATCGTGCATATATATTCCTAGAAAAATTCAACGCAATACTTAAAAATGAATTTCCAAACGTTCAGTAAGAATAAATAACTTTACATACATTCAAATTATTTTATTAATAAAGTAGTCAAAAGAAAACATGATTGGTATAAAAAACTAAGAGCTTTAGAATTTTTTCAAATTACAAACATAAAGGGGAAATTTAGCAATTTTTTAAATAAATAAGCAATGTATGTGCAACATATAATGCGTAGTTTTATTTCTTAAATTTCTTCAGCACTAGGAAATTTCATGATTTTGCATTCTGAAATACAGAATGGAGCCGCAATCGTTTTTAATTAGAAGCAACAGTTTTTTAAAATAATTTTGATTTAAAGCAAGCATTTATTGATAGTGGTAAAAAATTCAGACTGAGACATAAGTAATAAAAGTTTAAAGTAAGTAAATCTGGCTATTAGCTTTCTAATATAGAATCTTGGAGGGGGGAGCGGAACTCAAAGTTTCTCATAATTCAGATTAATTTAAGAGATCGCTAGCTGCCTTTCCTTTAGTTACAAATATAAAAAAATTCAATAATTCTGTGCTTTTAATTTTTAGTTTGGTCATGTATTCCTCCTCGATTTTTAATAAATAAAGCATGGAGAAGGTATAGTTTCTCATTCGTTTCATTACAGACATTGCTTTTTTTTTAAACAACTAAAAAACTTGAAAAAAGTGTATACGAATAACACAAGTTTTTATTTAGTTCAAAATTTTAGATTCAGAAAGTTTTAACCAAAAGTTGGAATTTCACATGGCTTGCATATCTGCCATTAACAAAGATAACTCGTTTACTTGAATTTGTTTTACGTGTATCAGATCTATAACATGTAAGATGACGTGGCCAATGTTTGCTTATTTCTTGCAGATATAAATAAAATTAGTAGAGATGTGAGAAAATTAGTGTATAAGCACAATTATTCATAATAATCCATTAGTCCCAAAGTAAGAAAAATCAGAATGCGGTACATTCATTCCTGGAATATAATTAGGCGCATCTGATTAATCGTTCAAGAATGCCTTTATGTCATCTACTTCGCAACTTTTAGATGTGTTATAGAAAATTACGTTTCAGTTTTTTCTAAGTGAGTTTTTGAGCATTTGAGTAACTTTATCTGAATGTGTTCGTAAGCTTTTCATAAGAATGGGTCATGATGATTATTATTTTTTGAACCTATTTAATTTTTCGAGGAGCTTTAAAGGAATGAAAGGTTGAATTTGATTTCAATTAACTCTACGAACTTCTGAAGCAAACGCGTTTGCTCATAAAATATGCTACGTAGATTTCTTACTTACAGTTTTAGTTATGCGTAGGATTGGCTCTGAACAGTTAGTTATTCAACATGCGTTTAGATAAACATCATCGCTGAGTTGGATTTATAATATTTTTTTGAGCGATGAATCGACAGATGGAAATAAAAGTACCATTGGCCTAATTACAGCTTAAGAACCGATGCATTTTTTATGTGTATTCCAATATTAATGATTGCTTCATCATTGGTTTAGAAATATATTTTATTCGCTTGATAAATGACCTAATTTATCTGTTCAGAGACGTAATATAAAGACACGTCTTCCCTCGAGTTGATCAATGACTTTACTCAGCAATAGTCATCCTGTGCTGATGATAATATGTCGGTCGTTAATGGCTAGACAACCTCTATTAAACAGTGATAGATATCCTTTACCAGTTTATTATGCCAGAATTTTGATTCGCGTCTGGAATAATGGCGCTATCTGAAGATGTAATATAACAAGCTAATAACGTATGCAGCTGGAACCTGAGCATTCCGATGGGGGGGTATATGCTTCTTTTCCGAGAATTTGCTGTAACGCGAACCAACACTATTAATCCTCATTTACTTCGCAGTTTGAGAGATGTCTAATTCTGATTTTTTGAAGTTGTTTATTCTCGGCTTTGGAGGTAACGATGGAATCCCGCTGGTCTTATTTCATTTTATAGAAGTGGAGTCTGAGAAGAAGAAGTGGGTACTAATATATAAAGCATTTGCTAAAAGCAGAATAAAATTTTAGTTATGTTTTAATTATGATTTATAGTTTTCGATGAGGATGTGCTTTTCGAAACTGATATTGTTTATTGTGAAATTATTGTGTCGTTAGCGCTTGAATTGAGTATAAAGACCGGCTTAGCTTTAGCCACAGCCTGAATAATTTTAGGCATAAAGTGAGAAAACAGATATTGTTTCTCCTAAGTACTATCTACGGTACCTTACTAATCCATTCAATCTATTTTTTTCTTCTTACAACATTGAACCAATGTAAAGTAAAAAATCTAAAATACTTTCTTTGTTGTACTCTAGAATTCGTTGTGTTTATGAAAATAATAATATTACATAATGTATTTTAGTGCTTTAGAGATAATAAAAGTTTGCAAAACTGTAATAAAATTACTTGGAAGCAAATTAGAAAAATCTTATAAATAATGGGAGATCAGCAATGTCTTAAGAACAAACTACTTTATTGAACATTTATTCAATGCATAGAACATTCGCAAACATTTTATACAAGCATCATGTTTACTTTTATCAACTATATTACATTTTCTCTTCGCATTAAATGTTCTGCAATTATCTGATATAGAACAGCTTCTAAGTAACATATGTGCTCATTAGCAAATTAAATGGAATAGAGTTTTCACAGATTAATATATAACAGTGAAAAAAACTGAGTAAAATACCTATCACTAAAAAAAAAAAAAAAAAAACCTTCAGCCCCCCCCTCCCCTCCCCAGACAGCCGAGATAGTGAGGCTGTCATATTTCGCCTCCCATTGACTGAATGGGATGACTCACATTTTTGTGACTTTCGTTTTAAACACTAACCGTTTTCCTTAGATATGAAAATGTCTTTCCATAAAGAATTATTACTTGAATTTTTTGCCATAATTAAGTAAACAACAAACATTCAATAAATAAATAACGAAAAATTAAGTACATTTTCAACTACGAATAATGTTTAGACCTTTAGATATTTGATGAATCATCTTAATTTTTCTCCTTATTTTTATTTTATATTAATCTAATTATTCTTCTTTCTTGTAATCTCATTTCTACGTTGAAATCCGCTTTCAGAACTTTGTAATCAGGAAATGTGAAATCTCATTTTCACTTTCTAATCTAATCCTCTCTAATGCTAATCTACATTTTTTTCCTAAAGAAATCGCTTCATGCTTCGGTGCGCTGGGTAGAAAAATCATTCAACAGGGTTTATCATTTAATTTAGGCATACAAAACTTTCTTTTTCCTTCCTACAACTTTCCGATACATTACTTGTAGATTATACAGTGCTGAATTCAAATATGGCATTTATTTTCCACAACCATGCGCTAATCTTAAGACAACTAAGATTCAAAAAGTTAAAACATTACTTTGAAATCAATGCTTATTCGATTTTGATTGGAGAAGATACTTCAGATATAATAGTTAATTTATCATAACAATCGACATTTTACACAAACTGAACTACAAAAAAACGACAGCTTTATTTTAGCCTTTTTTACCTGTCACCAACTTATATCCATAGGTAAGGGACGTAATGTTTTTGGTCCAAAAATTCAATAGTAAGTAAGTATGAATTAATGTCTCCACAACACGTTTTGACTATTTTACAATTACGTCTGTAAGTGTGTGGCGGTTTTTTTCGTCCACGATAACTCTCATGAAAAACTTTCAAAACTTTCTACATCCATATAAAAAGTTGATTAAATTTTGAGCTAAATTGGGCAGTCGGAAGAGGTACGTTACATGCAGCCCATAACAGTCTTTAGTGGACAATTGAAAGTGGTATTTTACTTAAAGCAGTTTTTAATAAAAAAACCTGTATTAAAATATAATCCGAAACGGATACCAGATGCAGTATTTTCAGATAGAGCCACTACAGTATTTGTTCCTTGTTTCACTACTCCATCCATACAAAAAGCCTCTGTATTGAAAAAGGCCTGTTTGCAGCCTGTTACAACGTGCCACAACGTTTAGAAATCATCTTTATAACACGCATTTTAAATGTATATTTCAGATTTAACAAATTCCGATTTAACGCTTTTGTCAATGTAACGAAGTTTTACTCTTTTTTTTTCGAAACTTCAGCAAAGAATATTCAGTTTAATGGGCATTTAAATGAGGATTTAACATATTATCACCATCTTCCATATTTTTTCTTTTTTTTTTACTTATTACGTGCTCCGCCCTTAGGCACTACATGGAAAGGAAGGGATGTTCCGTGAAGGTCTTTTTAAGGGAAACTGGCTCGTACCCACGTTATGCATGAGGGAAACCACGAAAACGTCCATGCAAGCCAGCCCGTTCGTCGGGACCTAAACCCCGGACCGAACTACCAGTGTTCAACGGCTTTTACTGCTAGGTCACTGGTGGGCCTATTTTCCATATTTGAAATTTTTATAGATTCCTGATATTGAGCCAACACAATTATTTAACTTTAAACTAACTTTGAGTCTTATTCGCAAGCAGTTCTGAATTATCCAAGTTACAAGTTCTGAGGCAGTAAATCCACTGTCGAGACTTTTTTTCCCTTTGGGATTAATATTTAAGCGAGAGCATCATGAAGTTTAAGTACCACTGCCTCTTAATATCTGTCACTATTTTCAAACGTTTCTTGACATAGCAGAAGTGCGAAGAACAAATTAAACGATAAATAATCTAGTAGATTGAGATCTAAGATCAAATCAAGTTATAAACAATTTAAGTAATAAATAAATATTATCAAAACTTTAGTTCTAATGATTGTCTTTTCGTGCCATTGTGGTGCTTACAGTGATGAAAATTACAATAATTTATGTTCTTACGAAGGTACGCAGCTTGTCCAAGGTAACTGTTTGTAGCCTTTTATAGACATTTGTAATACCGTGATAAAATTTTTTCCTGAAGTTGTCAACTCTATGGCGACACCATCAGTAAAATTTTAAAAAATATACATTCATTGTTCAACGCCACACAAAAGGAACTACGGGGAAG